ATCACGTGACTGAGTGTGCCCCAACTAAAACTGGGGAGTGTACTGGTGATATTTCTCAGTTTATTTTTATTGTCAAAATGTTTAACAGCTTTGGTATAAGAAACTAGTTTTGTAATGGTCACTTTGCCAAACAAGGACAAACCCCTCAAACTCCATTCATGATTGGTTGATCATTTTTTGAATGTCACTTAATCTGTCATGAAAATTTTGTTCAATGACCTTTCCTTGATCACACGAGAAGTGAATTGCTAGCATTTTAACTCCAGTGTACCACTCAAGACCCATACATTTTGCTAATGAATTCTTATTTGCCCCAATTCATATCACTTTAGTTTTATAAATAAATTATTCATTTTTAAACCAAAGCAATTTTTCAAAATTGTTGAGGATTTGCAAGACGATTTCTACCGAATAGGTGTTCACCAGAGTAGTAGTCATATCATTGACATATAGGAGTGTTCTACTTTCATTGATTTTTATGCCTTTAACATGCTCATTTGATCTAAGAGATAACTAAAATTTCATTTGCCAAAACAAATAAATAGGGTGACAAAGAGTTGCCTTGCCTTACACCTCTTTCTGACTTAAGAGGCTTGGAAAATAAGCTATTATTATAAACACAACTCAAGAGTTTATTAAATGTTTTTATTCATCTTATTCAGGTTGGATCAAAATTGAAGGCCTCTAGTGATCGATGAAGAAAATCCCATTCAATAGAGTCAAAGGCTTCTTCAAAATCTTAAAACAGAAGAACACCAGGTATCTTTAACAATTCAGTGTGATGGATAATGTTGAGAATTGAGCAAACCACCTCTCCAATAAAGCCACCCTTGTTAAAACCGGACTGATTATTTATTACAATTTAATGGCATTTGACGATAAAAACTTGCGTCAAATGTTATTCTAAGTCACTTCTTCTACATAAATTTAATAGCAATTAACAAAATGAAATCATTACTTATAACAAAGGAAATGCCATAAGGATGGTCTGTAGAAGAGTCCAAGACCCTATCCTCAGACAAACCACCTAAGTAACTATAATATTATAGTTTGAAAATATAAACTAATATAATATAACTAATTAAAATCTGATTTAAAATTCTAAAATATGTGACCGTGAGTTTTCAGTTATTTTACCAGTGTAGTTGGGATTCATCAAGAAGTTCCTCACACCACACTTAAAACATGAGATATGAGATGCTGATCTAACTAGCAGTATCAGAGTAAAACTGAACAGTTGAAGAGTTCTCAATGTCAACATATCCATTCAAGACTTTACAAAAAAATAACACATCAAAAAGAAATCGTCTACGTTCCAAGGAAAGCAGATTAAGCTTAGAGTTGCGAATATTTTAAAGTAAACCTCATAGCTTGATGTTGCACTCTTTCCAAAGTCATGATACTTTTGGCAGTGAAGGGTGACATATTCAACTTGAGGCCTAACCAGGGCACAATAAAGAGTTCTGCATGAGCATAGAAATATCTCTCAAATCTCTGCAATTTCTTTTGATTGAACCAAGCACTTTATTTGCCATGCTGGTGATCTTGTCTATGTGAGAGTTCCATGCCAATTTATATTCAGTTAGTAAACCAAGATCAGAGAGCTCAGTGGTAGCTTCAAGGGGAATACCATCCAGTAGTAGAGAAGCAGAGATTGGAGATCAATTTTTAGTGACCTGCAATAACCTACATTTCTTTGTATTAAAGCTCATTTGAATTTTTTTTTTAGCCCAGGAGCCAGATTGTTGAGATCTTCCTGAAAAGATTCATCATCGCATGGGTGTTGGATAACTCTTGAGACTTAAGGGTCATCTGCATACAGTGCCACCATACTCCCAGAGGAAATAGCATGAGGCAGATCATTAACAAATATCACAACAAACAAGGGGCCCAAGATGGACCCCTGGGGTACCCCTGAGGGGATAGTGCATCAGTCAGAACTTGATTATGATGGATTATTCAAGGAAGGACTTTTTTGAATCTGTTGATGACCTTAGAAGTCAGCATTGACTAATGAAGTCAGCCTCCAGTTTTCCAAATACATTTGATCTTTACCTGTTTTATCAGCAAATGTGATCATTTCCTCTTTTTCTGAATTTTACATTTCTCCTGAGTCAAAAGGGTAATTAAAAGCATCGGTCATGAGCTCACCTACAGAGCTCCAAAAAGTTTAATTTGTAAAATTTTGTACATATACTGTCTTTCCATTTCCAAAAGTATCCAGTGTTTGGGCACATTCTTCAATAGTTAATCGTCCTTCACAACTTAGTTTTTCGTCCTCTGACAATTCTGGAATGCTAGCTTCACCAAGAAAGTGATCCAACTAATCATGCTGCTCCTCACTGTTAATACAGATTTTTATAATAATTCAAAGATGAGCCTATTTTTTTTTTCATAGTTGATAGTTATAACTCTGTTTAGACAAAGTTCCTTAATAGGTTTCTTTGTAATTGGTTTTTTTTCTCCGAACTTTAAAATACTTTGTACTTTTTTCCCCATGTTCATGCCATCTCACCCTTAAACATACATTTAATCCATTGGCTTTCTCTTTGTAAAAGTTTTCTAACTCAGTTTTATATTTATTCAGATTATCAAATTCTTTGCAAGGATTCTCTTAAAATTGTATTTGAGTGGCTTGGAGTTAATTCTTCTGTATACCTTTCTCTTTATCTCACTTAGTTCTAGTAAGCTCTTTTGAGTATTGCATCCAAAAAAGCAAACCTTCTTTTAATCCAATCACAAGTGACTCTTTAATCTGAGGATTGTTTTCCTTCTTCTTTCCATATCTCCAGATTCGTTTTCATAAATTGAATAAACTTTTCATCTGACAAAAATGATGTGTTCATTTTTCAGAAAACTGGCCCTATTTTTAGTCTCGTCAAACTCTTTCAAATGAAGTACAATTGCCCAGTGGTCCATTTAATGACTCCAGTAATGTCTACATTTTCAATCAAGTCCTGAGGTGTATCTGGAATGAGGCAATAATCTAAGCTGCAGAAACATATTTTGATTAGAGCTGCCATAGCTTGTTTCAAATTTCTCTTTCTGTTCCAGTTAATTTAAGCCCCGTCAGATATCTACATTACAGGTGTGTTTGTAAGGCCATTTGTTTATAAGCCCTCCTAAAACCCCTTGCAAAGGTGTGTAAGCCCTGGGCTATTTAACCAGCAATTTTATACTGTTATGCACTATTAACAATATTGTTTTCAGCACAGTACATGTATACAAATGTGAATGTTACATTTTGGGGTGAAAAGGAATATTTAATAATTACTGGGAATTTTAGGAAAAACCTTGAGGCAACTTATATAAAATAAATACATGCATTAGCTCCCAAATAAAATTCAAGCAATCAAATTTATTTTCATGCTTTAAGTTTAAAATATTTCCTATGGTATATTAACATCAACATGTAGTAATATTAGGATGGAATTTGATTTCTTTGTCTTTTCTTGAAAACTTCATAAAATTATCCTTTCTAATATTACAGCTATTTATCTAAAATAGCCCTAATAAAACATTAAATTTAGTTTGACATAAATTGTGAATAAAATCTGTTGATTCTTTTGCATGAAGTACAATACTATCAATCAAAAAATGTCTTTATTTGAATCATTTAATTTTGGATGATGATACAAATGGTATTTAACCCTTTCCTCCCAGAGGCAGGCTTTGACTTCAGTTTATGTGGTTGTAACTTCTTTGGATAAAACACTCGTGCGTAAACATTCAAATTTAATGTAAGCTGTCAAGCAGCATTTTCACGTTATACTGTTTGTTTTTGGTGATTATGCAGATTGAAATTCAAAGATTTCTAATCAACTTTTACTTAACACTCTTGGAAGTGATGGGCTTCATTGCACTAAATAATTTATTTTTCAATTATAATCTTGTTGTAACTGTAACAATAAATTGTATTGAAGTAATCCTGAACTGCAGACTTAGCAGCTGTTTGTTTTTGCTGGGCTCGCAGCTTGTCAAACGTGACTAAAATAATCCTGGAACCTTTAGCTTACTGATAGATTTATTTCATTGTAAAGCGTAAGCTAGCATGCAAGTCACCGATTCGATTTTTGATCACGAACCGAACATCGCAGTTTGTACTCACCACAAACTTTCAAAATCGTGGCTTTATAAATGGCCGCTCGATCCTTGTTTGTACGTACCAGGTGGTCATGATATGTCTACTGTTGTCCCTTCTTTTAACTCCACGGCGCCAACGACTTGCTTTTTATTTACAATACTTAAGCTGTTCTCGTCTTCGCTAAAACCCATCTTTAGAGATGCAAATAACTTCACGCACGAGCGATCAACCGATGAAAAGTACATTCAAAGATGAGCGCCAAACGGAATTTTCTTTGTTTCAGATCACGGGTATGATCACGTGGATGTTTTGGAAATTGTCATTGGCTGGTAAAGGGAAACCACTGGCTTGCCCGATTGCGGTCTCAAGAGAAGCCCGAAACATCATTTTGATTTCCCTGACCAGTTCTTTGATTTTGGACGATGGATTAACCTTGGATCCATGCTTTGACGATGATATAGATAACGATGTGAACTCACTCTATGTAGAAATAATTGACAAGAATCGAACGTACTACAAATCCACGATTTGTGGCCAAAAGTTGTTGAGGAAACAAAGACTCGAAACCCACTTGAGTTGTGTTTACGGCAAAAGGTGAGAAATAACATAGCAAGCCAATCACAACTTTTAATACAACAACAACAAGCCTTTATTTCGTCTCCAATTTAAAATAGCAAAAAAAAAAAATGCTAATATCTCCGAGGAAATAAATAAATAAAATGAAATAGTTATGGAGATTAAGATAAATACATAAAACACAACATATACAATTCAGTAATTGATACACTAGGATAACCTCAGAAAGTATAAGAGATACCTAGATGATCACAGTGTACCAGTAGTAGTATTAGTGTACCCAAATCAACAAAGTTTGACCGCAACAAACGTTCAGCAACATGTTCCAACACAGCCATCTCGATTCCTTAGTCTTTCGTTTCCACTGAACCAGCAGTGGTGCCAAAAGAGTCAAGTACGTCTCATAACGAAGAAACATTTGTACAAGAGAAGGCATAGGTGGCCCAAGCTCTGCCACAGGCTCTTTCACAGTCGATTATTCAAGAGTTTGTATAGTGGTTTAGTTGGACTTGCTTTTGAGCTCCGTAAATGTAAAGTTGTGTCAAATAAATCTAAGAAAATTGTCTTACCTTCATAGTCTGTGCTCTCTATGAAGGTTAAGATTTTATTTCTTTGATTATTTCACACAACTTTACATTTTACAGAGCTCAAAAGCAAGCCCAACTAAACCACTAGACAAACTCTTTAATAATCCACTGTGAAAGAGCCTGTGGCAGAGCTAGGGTGACCTTGTGTTGAGATTCTCACTTACAAATGGATGTGCACATTCTGAAGTGTTCCTCTGTTTATGATTATGTTTATGTTTTGTGATTTTAGCACATCTGTGGAGATGAGACATTTTGCATCCCAATAAAAACTTTTATGATCATGGAATCCACGAAGCCTTAAAGGTTAGAAAGCAAATCTGTGATATGAGTACATTGGATTAATTGACAATTGAATCCACAGCTGCTTCATGAAAAAATGCTTATTAATGTTAAGATTTGCAAAGACTTAGTTTGAAAAATAAATTTCATGATAAACATATACATATAATTATGTAATATATCTCTTGGTATATTTTGTAAGGCATACCTTTTATTGAACCAAAGTTTTAAGCCTCCAAAATTACTTCTTGTCCTAAAACCTTCAGGTTCCCAGTGTTGAGAATTTCTTGGAATTATTTGGATGCAGAAACTCCCAAGAATTCCACCCTTCTTAACTTATA